AAAAAAAAAAAAAAAAAAAGCAGGGGAGATTGGCTGGAGTTCCTTTGCGAACTAGCTACTAGGCAATGCTGCTATAACCCTACAAAAGCAGCCAGCTGTGGTGTAAGACATACCTCATTAGTAGTTAGCTTGTCCTGGGGTGTCTGTGGGGACATGGTGGGTGTCGGCTGGCTGGAGGATGGGGAGGAGGAGGGGGAGGAAGAGGAGGAGGAGGAGGAGGGGGAGGAGGAGGGGGATGCTCCCGCACCAGGGACGTCGCCTGAATAATTAAGGTGCTGCTGGAAGTAGGTTACATTTGCAAGTTGCATAAATTCTGCAGCACCGGGAAGCTCGGTGGCCACCGGGGCAACCAGCCAGCAGGAGGGATCGGTGGCCAGTGGGGCAACTGGCTAGTGGGAGGGATTGGTGGCCAGCAGGACAACCAGCCAGCAGGAGGGATTGGTGGCCAGTGGGGCAACTCACTGGCAGGGGGGATTGGTGGCCAGTGGGGCAACCGGCCGGCAGGAGGGCCTAGTGGCCACCATGACAACTGGCCAGCAGGAGGGCTTGGTGGCCACCAGAACACCAGGCTGGCGGGAGGGCTCGTTGGCCAGCGGGGCAACCAGTCAGCAGGAGGGGAGGGCTCAGTGGCCATCAGGGCAACCGGCCAGCGGGAGGGCTCAGTGGTCCCTGGGACAACGGGCGAGATGGATGGCTTGGTGGCTACCAGGACAACTGGCCAGTGGGAGGGCTCGGTGGTCCCTGGGACAATCAGCCAGATGGATGGCTTGGTGGCCACTGGGACAACTGGCCAGCAGGAGGGCTCAGTGGCCACCAGGGCAAACGGCCGGCAGGAGGGCTTGGTGGCCAGAGGGGCAACTGGCTGATGGGAGGGCTCAGTGGCCACCAGGACAATCAGCTGGCTGGAGGGCTCGGTGGTCCCTGGGACAACCGGCCAGATGGAGGGCTTGGTGGCCACTGGGACAACTGGCCAGCAGGAGGGCTCAGTGGCCACCGGGGCAAACGGCTGGCAGGAGGACTCATTGGCCAGCACCCCGTGCAGTTCTCGGCCGCCTCCCCCCCGAAGCCCTCGGCCACCTCCAGGTTGGTGGCCACGTTGGCGAAGCCGTGGGGCACCTCGTCCCACTCGTCGAAGCGGACGCCGGTGCCCAGCGAGTAGGTGCCCTCGGCGCAGGGCCGACACGCCTGGGCCTTCATGTCCAGGAACTCGCCAGCCTTACAGGAAAAAGCTGCCCCGAGGGCAACCGGGGGGGTCAGGAAGGTTGCCCTCCCCCCCTTTTTCTCCTTCCCTTCTCCCCCCCCCTCTCCCCGGCGCTGCTTCGGCCTCAGCATCCTCCTCTCCGCTTTCGGGAGGGCTCCCTGATAAAGGGGGTGAGTGGGATCCCCCCCCTCAATCCAGAGCGTCCCTGGGGGGGGCAGCAAGGGAAAAATCCCCCCCCAATTTCAGATTTTTGAGAAGTCTTTAAAAAGCAGCCAGCGCCAGGCAGGATGTGACCCCGTGCTGAAGCAAAATTCCACACACACACCCCAAAATGTTGGATTTTTGGCACAGGGAGGTCCTCCCCCACCCAGCCCGTCCTGGGGGCATCACCTGCCTCTGGGATTCTCCGTCTGGAGCATCCCTGGGGCACCAAGGCAAAAAAACCCCAAATTTAGGATTTTTGGCAATTCTGCAGTGAGCGCCAGGCAGGTTGTGACCCTGTTCCAGAGCAAGTGGTGGAGCAATGGCACCCCAAAAGGCTTGGGGGGGCATCTACCCCCCCTTTATCACATCCTGGAGGCATCACCCAGCTCTGGAATTCCCTGTCCTGAGCATCCCTGGGGCACCAAGGCATGGACAGTGGGAGGGCTCAGTGGCCACCAGGACAACCAGCCGAGGGGAGAGCTCAGTGGCTACCAGCACTGATCAAAGGGCCACAGTGGAAAATAAAGTCTCTGCCCCATGCCACAAAGGCGTGGGGGTCTCCCATGGGTGCTCCCCCTCCAGGGGGGTGGCGTGGGCGTCCTGGGGGGGGGGATGCTATGGGGGTGTTGCAGTGAGCGCCAGGCAGGTTGTGACCCTGTTCCAGAGCAAGTGGTGGAGCAATGGCACCCCAAAAGGCTTGGGGGGGCATCTACCCCCCCTTTATCACATCCTGGAGGCATCACCCAGCTCTGGAATTCCCTGTCCTGAGCATCCCTGGGGCACCAAGGCAAAAAAACCCCCAAATTTAGGATTTTTAGCAATTCTACAACAAGTGCCAGGCACGATGTGACCCTGTTCCAGAGCAATGGCACCCCAAAAGGTTTTGGGGCGTGGCCACCCCCCTTTATCACATCCCAGAGACGCCCCCCCAGCTCTGGGATTCCCCATCCTGAGCATCCCTGGGGCACCATGGCAAAAAAAAACCCCAAATTTAGAATTTTTGGCAATTTTGCAGCGAGCACCAAGCAGGATGTGACCCCATGCCGGAGCACGCTGTGGAGCCACATCACCCCAAAAGGTTTGGGGGGGCGGCCACCTCCCTTTATCACATCCAGGAGGCATCACCCAGCTCTGGAATTCCCCATCCTGAGCATCCCTGGGGCACCAAGGCAAAAAAACCCCAAATTTAGGATTTTTGGCAATTCTTTAAAAAGCAGAAAGCGCCAGGCAGGATGTGACCCTGTGGGGCAATGGCACCCCAAAAGGTTTGGGGGGGCGTCCACCCCCCTTTATCACATCCCAGAGCCCCCCCCTGGCTATGGGATCCCCCATCCTCAGCATCCCTGGGGCACCAAGGCAAAAAAACCCCAAATTTAGGATTTTTGTCAATTCTGCCAGATGCCAGAGCACACTGCGCATCCCCTGCACCCCCAAAGGCTCCGGGGTGTGTGTGTGGGGGTGTGGGGGTGTGTGGGTGTGTGTGTGTGTTCCCCCCCCCCTTTTTCCTCCCATAACACCCCGGCCTTCCCGCTGACGAGCTGGTGCGGCCTTCCTCTTCCTCCCCCCCCTGACATCCTCACCCTCC